GTGTTCGTTCCGATAATGGGACTGAATTTGTGTATATGATCTCTTTCTTTGGTGAACATGACATCACTTTTCAACACTCACGTCCTTCCACTTCACAATAAAATGGAGTGGTTGAATGCAAACATAGGCACTTACTTAATGTTGGTCGAGCTCTTCAATTTCAAGCTCATCTTCCTCTCTCTTTTTGGGGAGAAAGTGTTCTCACTGCTGCATACCTCATCAATTGCCTTCCCACACCTACCCTCAACAAAAAATCACCATATGAAATGCTTCACCAAACACCTCTCACATATACTCATCTTCGTGTCTTTGGGTGCCTTTGTTATGCTACCAACACCAACTCATCTTCCAAATTTTCACCTAGGGCTCGTTGTTGTGCATTTGTGGGATATCCATTGGGCCAAAAGACTTATAGAGTTTATGACCTTTTCACATACAAGTTTTTCTCTACTTGTGACGTCGTGTTTCATGAACATGTCTTTCCTTACCACATCTCATTATCAAACACACATCCCATTGCTTCCGCACCTTTTCCTAACCTGTTTCTAGACATTTTTCCCTCTGAAACATAATCCCAACCTCAAACAAAGTCCAAAACCACAAACTGCCCAGAAACAATCAATCGCCCATCCTCTGGCAATCGATCGCTTTTTGATAGAGAACATTCGAACTCTCCCATTGACAAAATGATCGATCGCACCGTTCACGACGATCAATCGCCTCGTGACATTGACAATGTTTCTGACTCTCCTTCCCTAGAAAATGTCTCAACCTCTCCACCACTTCGCCGTAGCCAACGTGTCTCTCAACCATCCATTCTCTTACGTGATTTTCACTACAATCAAGCTACAAATGGGCCATCATCTTCCAAGAAATCAGGTACATGGTTTCCCTTGTCCAATTACATTTCTTACACATTTCTATCTATTTCACACAAAGGTTTTGTTAACCAAATTTCAAGTGTTGTTGAGCCCACTTCTTATACTCGGGCTTCACTCGACCCTCACTAGCGTACTGCTATGGATGCCAAACTACAAGCGCTTGCCTAACAAAACACTTGGTTGTTGGTTCCACTCCCATATGGCAAGTGCGCAATTGATAGTCAGTGGGTATATCGGATCAAGTACAATTCTGATGGTTCTATTGAGTGTTACAAAGCTCGTCTTGTTGCCCAAGGCTTTACTCAACGAGAAGGCCTTGATTTTACTAAAACCTTCGCTCCTATTGTGAAATTGGTCACCATTCGTTGAGTACTCGCCATTGCTTTTAATCATCAGTGGCCTCTTTATCAAATGGATGTTAACAATGCCTTTCTCCATAGTGATCTCCATGAAGAAGTTTACATGACCCCTCATCTGGGCCTTTGTCAACAAGGGGAAAGTACTTTGGTTTGTCGACTACACAAGTCCCTTTATGGTCTCAAACAAGTTCCTCGCAATTAGTTTCACAAGTTTTCTATTGCCATTCAGCAAGCAAGATTTACACAATCTCTCTCAGATTATTCTATCTTCACTCGTACTTGTGGTACATCATTTACTATTGTTTTAATCTATGTTGATGACATGGTGATCACAGGCAATGATGAGAATGCTATACCTTACTTGAAGTTTTTTCTTCATAATTAGTTTCACATTAAAGATTTGGGAGATTTGGAGTATTTTCTTGGGCTAGAGATTGCAAGATCAAAGGAGGGAATTATGATCTCCCAACCGAAAGTACACACTCGATATGCTCGATGATGCATGTCTTCTAGGTGCTCAACCAGTAGACTTCCCTATGGAGCAAAACTTTAAGCTCACAAACAGTGATGGTGAAGTGCTCAACGATCCTTCACGGTTTAGATGATTGGTGGGAAGATTAATCTACCTTACAATTACTCAGCTAGAGATTACTTATGCAGTCAACATTCTAAGCCAATTTATGCATCAATCGAGGAAATCACATTTGTATGCCGCTTTACGTATTCTTTGCTATCTGAAAGGTAGTCCAGGTCAATGATTACTTTTCTCTTCAAACAGCAAGTTGCATTTGATAGGTTATTGTGATTCTAATTAGGCAAACTACCCCATGACAAGAAGATCCACTTCAGGCTACTGTGTTTTTCTTGGGAATTCACTTATATCCTGGAAGACAAAGAAACAGAAAACGGTATCTCGTTCATCTGCTAAAGCAGAATATTGTTCCATGGCAGCTGCTACTTGTGCGCTGACTTGGTTACGATATCTTTTGAAAGATCTACAAGTTACGAATTTAGGTCCTGCAAAGTTGTTTTGTGATAACCAAGCAACCCTTCATATTGTCGTACATATCGTTTACCACGAACGAATGAAACACATTGAGATTGATTGTCACGTGGTTCGAGAGAAGATACAAGGTGGACAGATTGCTACCTTCTTTGTTCCATCCGCGTCACAGTTAGCAGATTTGTGCATAAAAGCCCTTGGAAGTAATGCTTTTTACAATCTTGTATGCAAGTTGGGCATTCTTGATATCCATGCTCCAACTTGAGGGGGAGTATTGGAAATTATGAAGTTTCTTTATTTCCTTTTCTGGAATTGATTGTAATTGATTTAGGAGTAGTCTCCAAGTAAACCTAGGATTCCTCGTAGGGTTTGTAAAAATCTCTATAAATTCTTAGCCTTCTGGCTCTATTAATACACAGAGAAATATTCTTCTCAACACAGTCTTCAATTTGACATAAAGAGACCTTGCTTTTTTAGTATGGGACATGACAACTTTCATAAAATCGCAAATGTCAAGAAAAAGCTACAAATTCAAAAAAGAAATAGGCAAACAGACCCAAAGCTAGAGCAACCAATGCAAAACGAAACTGAGAGAATTTAGATCTAAAGCAGCTCAGACAGAGAGATCGGCCGTGAAGCTTACACTGGTAGATTGTCTTTTTCACCTTCGATTTCTTCAAGTTCGACGAGCCGTACCTGGCTCTGGGCACCATCTAAAAGAATTAGCATGTTTCGTTTCAATGCTAGAGAATGCTACTTGATTCGAATTAAGATGGATTGAAATGGATTGAGCATGAAGAAAAGCTCAATCCGTGGTTTGTAAACTTTGTATATATATACATATACAAATTTCAACTAAAATTTTATTCATTGGGCTTAAAAATTCACAAATGACCCAATTACCTGTAATAAGAGATGATTGAGTCTATAAAAGAGAGGTGCTTTAAAGTTGGGATTGGAGATATATTAATTATGGGATTAGAAATTTAGCATTTTACTTGAATAATTTAAAAAATAAAATAAAAAAATACAAAGCCGGTCTAGTCCGATTTAGTGCCTGTTTGTTGACTTTTTAGTCAACACGATTTTTTTCATATTTTTCCATTCGGTGCGGCTTGGTGTTCCGGTTTTCCGGTCTCGATACCCACACCTAACTAATTATGAGAGAGAGAGGATTTGATTATTTGAATTTTCGAGGAGTGTGAGAGACTCAATTTCAAGTGCAAAGAATGATGTTTAAAACTCCCCAATTGCCCATAATTAGATACGCATGCATAAAAATTGAGAGTCAATGAAACATGAATGGAAACATAACCTTCATTAGGGGTGAATATGTATGCCGAACAAATCGCATATTGACTGCACTAGATCGAATGTCTAATTTGATATAGGTATTATTTATTTAATTTTAAAATTGATAAGAAAATCGTATTACTGGATTAAAGTTGCGGATTGACTAATACTTAACTGACAATCAACTGAACCAAAGCCAAGTATTACAATTTAACTCAAATCAGACCTTCGATTGAGTATGGTCAGTATTCGATTTGTTCGCCATTAATATTCTCCCCTTATGTAAGGATATTAGACTTTTTATTTTAGCAATGGAGTGCAAAATGAAAATCACCCTACACTTGGATTAAAGCATGTCAAGATTACTAGCTAGCCTTGGATTTGTAACGCAATGGACGAACGTTGTATACTGAATCTGATGAGTCCGAGAATATTCATGCGGTTCTTGTGGAAGATGTCGCACTCCACAAGCTGGCATCCTTGAATACTGAATCTGATCCCACAAGAAATACGGTGCAGCCTACACAACAAAAATGTGGTAAGGAGAAATTTGTTGTTGAGGGTGTTTGCAATCCCCCTTCAAAAAGGAAAAAAATTTCTTCCGTCACTTAGCCCAGGTTGCTCTCCAAAACTTACTAGAGGAACCTTGGGGATTAGAGCTGGTGCTAAAGGGGGGCCTAGACGGGCACAAGGTTCGACTGGTGTTGCTCAGTCTGCAATCAATGATTCAATGCTTTGTCAGGTGGTGGTGAGTCCATGAAAAGAGTTGACAGGTGGAATTAGAAGAGGGATACGGCCACTTGGCACCACTTGTAGTACTCAGAGTGCACCCGATGAAACAAAGCTGTGTGAGGTGGTGGTTTAGCCCATCCAAAGAGTTGGAAATCCTTGAACTGAGGGCTAAGAATGGTAAGGTTGACGGCGGTGGTGGCTGGCCTTTGACAGCCAAAGGGGTCCATGATACTACCATTCTGGGATTGTCATGGCAGGGGCGTTTTCATTCTTCATAATAAGATGCTTTTATGCTCCATAAGCCCCTTTACACTCTGCCTCTATCTTCTCGACGGTGGTGTTGGTAGTTTTGTTTTTGTGCTGGTATCTTTGCTTTTTCCTTAATATGCTTTTTCTCTATCGATTCCTTGTGGCTTTGTTTCGGTTTCTGATTTTCTCAAGAGGGAGGAGGAAATTGTTTGGGTAGACGAAGAGTGGTGGAAGAGGAGGATGCAAGAATATGAGAAGTCCGACAAAGTTTATTATTATAATAATAATTAAATATATTAACCGAAATGAATGAAAATAAGATAACTTAAAATGAAATTAAATGAGGTATGTCCAAGTAAGATGCCACATCAGCATTATTCATATACATATGGTTTCTAAAACATTAATCTGCCTTTTTCTTTTGGTAACTAATCATGTTTAAGCTCAAGTCAACGAGAAATTATAAAGCAGTGCCACTCAAAATTTATCCAAAAGCAGAGGCACAAACATTCATTTATTCATTTGTAAGATTCCAGAAAACACAATAGAAGTAGTCTTGGAAATTCCAATAGGGTTAAGTGACATTACAAGTGAAAATCACTAATTTATTCATTATAATTATAATTTTATTGTAATTAAGAAGGAGCATCACGATTCACATCACAGCTTCAGTCTTCCCCGCTCCTATCCATATTAATCTCGTGAAGAATGACCACAACAGCAACTATAAAGGCGTAATCAACATGAGGGTACACGGTAACTCCAAATGCATCTCTTCCAAACAAAGCACTTTTAACATCATGTTTCTTGTGCATCTGCATTCACATTAATACATTATATATGTTATATCATCATCATGCATCATGCATCATGATGAAACTGATGGATAATATGCTAAATCTTACTTGAGCAATGATGGTGTTGTCTCCAGTGTATATGGTGCATGATCTCTCCCCCCAACTTCCTTTGACCTTGAAATCATATTGCTCTTCTTTTGTATTAGCAGCCAAGAACACATCTAATTCAGTCTTTAACTGGAAAAACGATGACTTCTTCGCAGTGAAAAGTAAATCTTTGGCGTCTGAGCTCTCTCCTCTATATACGTGCCATCTCCTATGGGCTGTCAATATCTAAATCAACCCAAATAAGAGCACTATGATCAAACTAGATCAAAGCAGAAACATGGGGGGTGTAATTTTTCAGTGCTTTAGAGCTGTTTTGATTTGATCTTATATGAGATCAACATGGGGGTGTAAATTCTAATTAACCAATTTAACTTAATTACTGCGATTCACTATAACTATCTCAGTACGTACACGTGTCGCCAACCCATGAAATACAAAAACAGGTCGGTACCTTTTGTCGAAAAGAGAGGATCGGAGTGTCGGCGCCGTCGACCAAAACGCGGCGGTCGTGAAGGCTGAACAGGGAGCCTTTGATCTTGAACATGAGATTGCCGTTGACATCGGAGACTGTGAATGTACCTTCCTTGAGGCTCATCATCTTCTCCGTGATCACCAGATCCACTGGGTACGTTGCGTGGAACTGTGGGCTGACCACGGTCACTGGGTTCGCCAGTGGCTGAGCGCTCGGCCCAGCTGCCGGCACCGGCACCTTATACGACATATCGTTAGTTTCTCACCCACACTTGCAGAGCTTGATTGTTTTTGGGGTGTGATCACTGATCGGATAGATTGGGTAATATTTATTGAAGGATTTTTTTTTTTTTTTTGGTTCTGATATTTATTGAAGGATGAGAATAGAGAAATGAGATAAGAGTTGACCGAGCTGGGCTTCGTTCGTTTGCGTTGACGTGTTCACATAGTGGGAGGGAATCTGTCGGCGTGTCTGAATCCGATTGAGAGTGAAAATTGCAATTGCGTGAAGTGGCGGAGCCCTCTTGTTCACGCGTGGGGTAATAAATCCCATATCCAATAATGACATGGATGAAAGACAAATATTTCATTTCCAATTTTGTGATTTGAAAATTATTTATTTTAAATGTTATTGACTCAGTTATTTCTGTGTAAATAAGTATAATGTAATCTTTACATATGTATGTAACAAGGGAGAAAGCAAAAAAAATAAAAGAACAAAAAGCAAGAGCTAGTTGTGATTTTGAATATTTAGGGGCATAATTAAAGTTCTATTATTAGGAATATTTGTTGCACCAATTACTTGTAATTACCTTATGTCGAAGAGTGAGAGGGTCAAAAACTTTATTTATGGAAACACAATCTTGGTGAGTTTGCTTATAATCTTAATATTTGTTGCATCACTATACTTAATAATTTATACGTGTTCATATGCATAATCATACTTAACATTTTATTTTGTTTTATATAATCATGATTGTATTTATGGGCACGTGTCAAGTGATGAGAAAGATTGTAAGCATACACCTTGGGTTAAAGTATGATGAGCAAAAATACTCCCTTACGTAAATCTCCTTTTATACATAAGATCATGGGAAATAAGTTTTTTAGGGCAAATCGTACGTGTTTAGTATATTAGAGGCTTTCCTGATTACTTGCAAAATTTGAGAAATTTGAAACAGAAAGAAACCAATAGAAAGTAGAGAACGTGGAGAAAGAGATAAACATGAGGGCAACAAAGGTTGAAAATTTAGAAGAAGAAAAGATATGTGAGGAATGTGAGATTTTAGCCACAAATGTCAAATCAATACGAGTGAGTGCATCATCACGTTCATATTTCATTTATCAAATAAATTATAATCGAGCAACATATACTAAAATAAATCTTAATATTTATGAATATTAACAAAGGCAAAGGCAAAAGGGATAGCAACAAAGATGCATCGTTTCCTCATTCGAGTAACAAAGTAGATCCAAACTAATCTACTCAATCCTTGGTATTAATTTTAATTTTCATTAATCTCATCAAGAATCACAATAAGCGCGATGATGAATGCATGGTCAATGCCTGGGTACACTGTCACCATGAAATTGTCCTTTCCAAACAGCACGCTTTGAACTGTGCTCTTCTTATGCATCTACAATATTTTCCCCACAAAGATATTATATCGCAGTCAGTATACACAGTTGATGCAGTAATTAATTAATATTAATGTAGTTGATTAGAAGATTAATTAAAGTAATCTTACTTGGGCAACGATGGTGGAAGAGTTCCCACCATATATGACACAAGATCGTTCAAACCAACTTCCTTTGATCCTGAAGTCAGGTGCTTTCTCGGCTATGTTATTTGCTAAGAAAATATCCAATTTGGTCTTAAATTGGAACATCGAAGACCTCTTAGCACTAAAAATCAGATCCCTTGTTTCTGTGCTATCCCCTCTAAAAACTTGCCATCTATCATGTGCGCTTACGAACTGCACATAAATATACATATGAGTCAGTTAAGTACATACAAGAAAATTAGTATAATCTCTCGTAAATGTTCTCTTGCTAGACTGTGTGTCAATTTATTATCAGACTACGAATTCAAACTATTATGTTTTACCAAATTCACAATCTAAAAATATTAGGCTCTTACCCTATAAACCTAAACGTTCACAAACAAGGCTTAAAGTGCAAAAGCTACATAAAAACCCTATACATGGTTTTTTTCATGTGTTATGTTAACTAACAAAGTTTTACCTTCTTTCTTAGAGTAATGATGGGATAACCAGCTGTGTCAAGTAAGATCCTGTGGTCACGAAGGCATAAATGAGCTCCTTTGACTTTAAAAATGATGTTGCCATTGATATCAGAGACTACAAAGTTGCCATCGGTTATGGTCAAAACTTTTCTAACAATTGCAAGATCTACGGGTTGGGGGCTGCAGAAGTGAGGGCTGACGATCGCAACGGCGGGATGAGCATAGGCTATTGTCCCGGGATCAGCGTACTCTAATGATGCCGGATTAGCGTAGGCTAACGATGGTGCGCTAGCTTCTGGTTGTTTCATGGTAAGAGAAATGGCGGATACCGATGAGCACCTGTATTTTGATTTGGTTTAGGATAGAAAGAACGGCAACAATGTTTGGTGAATGGTGAGATTGATCTTTTATGACATTAGGACATGCCAAAACGTGTTTCTTGTATTGACCGTTTCTGTTCAAAACAAAGCAAGTCAAGCCAATGCGTAGAACTTGAAATTGTCGACTTTTAAACAAATACTATAGTCTATAGGGGGTTCTGGAAAGGTGGCTTGGTTTATTCCTCACAATTCAATCCTCTTATTAGACCAACTTTTTGGTTCAAAGTTTGAAGTTGGAAGTTTATCTCATAATTTATAGGGACATTTTGGAAAAAGCAAAAGGAGAGAAAAAAATTTTAAAAAAAGCAAAAATGGACAAAAATGCCCTTATTTATTTTTAGATTTCCTAAGGAATCCAATACATTTGCATGTCTTTGATTTGAAAGTTGAGTGGTTTTTTTGTCTTTTTTGAAAAAGCTTTGGCTTTTTCCAAAAGCGAAAATTTTTTTATGTCTAAAACCTAAAAAACCTTAATTTTATATTAGACGAAGTCATGGCGACAAGCTCATTCCTATTGGGAATCCAACTCCAAGAATAGTCAGAAGCCTACGCCAATTAGTAATTTGATCTACAAAAAAGCCCAAACATAGTTGGAGAGCCCGAAAAAATAATTTCATCTCCTACATGCCACACAAGAGCCATGCAGAAGCTGAGGGACATTTGTGGGAGCAAATATTTCCGTCTCCAATCACAGCACGCCACGTGGAAAAGAAGATTATCTCTTTTAATTAATTAATTGAACCAGTTTATCTGGCCAATTAATTAACTATGATAAATATCTTAATTAAATGATATTATCTTTATTTAATAAGATAATATCATTAATTAAGATATTATCCTAATAAAGAGAAGATAATGTCATTATCTCAGATATTATCTTCATAAAAAGAGATAATATCATTTAATTCAGATATTATCTCCATAAAAAGAGATAATATCATTAAATCAGATATTATCTCAGTCCGACTCAATCCCTACGAATTTGGGTAGAGAATAAACTCAGCATATTCTCTACGAAACCCTAGCCCCGAGGCTCCTATAAATAGATGACTTCATTCATCATTCAAGGTACATCTAAACATACTCCTTATACCCGAGAAAAATACCCGAAACTCTTTCTCCCTCTCCACTCTCCATATTTTCTCCACACGGCTCCGGCCACCACACACGGCTCCGGCCGTCCGGTTCACACCCCACATAAACACTACTCCGTACCCTTTGCGAATATTCTCCCGTGAGATTATTTGCACAAACAGGTATGGTGAAGACAATTTTGTTTGGAAGTGTTATTATATATCCCAGCAAAAAATAAAGTGTTATTTTATTTAGTAATTTGAGATTAGACCCATAAAATTCATTTTTAATCACCTACAGCCACTACAACAAAAAGTGGCAACAATTACCAAATATCACCAAATAATGGTGACCGTTGCCACTTTTTTTTCTTTTTTTTTTTGGGTGAGTCCTTCCCTTTGTTTTTCTATTTAAAATACCCATCTTTTTCAAATAAAACTCAATCACTAGGATTGAAGGATATTAGGTAAATATATATAATTGAGGGTGTAGGTATAAATAAATAAAAATCATTTATCCGACCTATAGGAGGTTAAGAGGGAGTATTTGAACTAATTTGATTGTAGGCCATTATTACAGGAGTACAAATATAAATGTGTAGTGAGAGGTATAATTCTTTTGCATAAAATTAGGGGATGAAAAACAGTCAGCCATCAAATAAAGATCTAGTGGCAGAATTTGTAAATAAATCAACTTACATGGACACATTGGCATCCAATTTTAAAATTGGATTTTACTTAAACATTGTATTATTATTAGTGGGTTATCTATCTATATATATAAAGCAAAAGGCAGAGAATGGTGAAACATTCAAAATACCAGAAAATGTCTTTGGTTAATGCAAACATTAAGAATTGAAATTATTAATTAAATGAGGATAATATGATAAATTCACACTTTTTCATATTTAAAAAAATTAAAATTAAAAGAAAAATCAAATAATGGATCCTATTTTTATGGAACACAACTATCCATTATCTTTTTTAATTCTAAAAATAAAAGAAAAAAGAAAAAAGAAAACCAATTGGCACATGCCCCCCCCTGTTGCCAAGGGGCAGGCGGTTTTGGTATTTGGGTTTGGCACATGCTCACGCATGTGCCAAGAGGCTAGTCGTTTATGATATTTGAGTTACAAAGGCCTATTTTAGCATGACCCTTTTATTCTCTCTTTTTCAAACAAAATTATGGGTTGGTTCATGGGTCGGTTCATTTTTTCCGTAGAATTATAATTCAAATTGTTATTCAGATCGCTATGGGTAAATGGATTTGAACTCAAATACATAGTGGGGAGTACATTCACTCTAACCAACTTAAGTCATATGTTTTAGTTGTGGGATATAAGTTGTTGAGGCCAAATCGTTTTCCAATATACTAAATGAAGAATTACCTAATTTGCATGAAATTTAAGAAATCTGAAAGAATAATAAACCAATATATGGAAATTAGAGAGCCAATTAACGAGGAGCACTTGTGGAGGAGAAACATGTGAACATGAGGAGCAGCAAACGTGGAGAATAAACTCATTATGCACCAAACCAAAGGCTGTTTGTGACTTTCAAGTTCGTCATCATCCTCGTCATCAATTGCCCATCACATGGCATTCAACAAAGGAAGATTATACTGGAATTGGGCAACATAATGACATTCATTGGACGCATTCGTCAAGGGTCAATGATTAATTTACATATTTCACACTTATTCAATCTGGAGACACATCAAGCATGCAGTATTCTAAACCCTTTTAATAGTTGCTAGTTATACACGCACAAAACAACAAACAAACAAAATCTTAAGAGGCTGTGGTGTGAATTTTAAAAAATTGTCACATAAACTTTGAAACATATCATAATTACACAACTTCGTGATTCTTAAAACATCTTCGTACTGATACGTAGATGGTAGTAATTATATTATACGCAACGTTCAACATCACAAAAACAATATTATTTTTATTGTTGTAACAAAACTTCTTTAAATAAAAAAATCCAACACGTTTACAATGCCCTATCATGAGTATGAATGAATAAATTAGGCCAAAGGGACAAATATGCGTCGTTTCCTAATTAAAGTAAGAAGTGGATCTAAACTAATCAACTCATGATCCTAATCCTTGATACATTAAGTTGGAACAGTAGGAATACTAGCAGTGTTAATCTCATCAAGAATCACAATAAGCGCGACGATGAATGCATAATCAATCCCAGGATACACTGTCACCATGAAATGGTCCTTTCCAAGCAACTCACTTTTAACTGTGCGCTTCTTATGCATCTGCAATGTTTTCCCACAGCATATTACATCCCAATCAGTCAGTACGTAGTAAATATGCTAGAAGTAATAAATGTTAATGTAGTTGATCATGATTCATAAACTTAATTAAAGTAATCTTACTTGGGCAACAATGGAGTCGTCCCCAGCATATATGACGCAGGATTTTTCAGACCAACTTCCTTTGACCTTGAAGTCAGGTACCTTCTCTGTTGTGTTATGTGCTAAGAAAACATCTAATTTGGTCTTAAATTGGACCATTGAAGATCTCTTAGTACTAAAAATCAGATCCCTGGATTTTGTGCTTTTCCCCCTAAAAACTTGCCATCTCTCATGTGCAGACATCAACTACACAAAAAGATACGAATAAGTCAGTTAACTACAATAGAAATACGTAGTATAAACTATGATAAATATTATCTTACTTGACATTGCGACAACTTATATTGTTGTCAAACTACGAATTTGGACTATTGTATTGATGAAGCAATCTTACTCTATAAACTCTAATGTCCACAAACAAACAGCTGGCTTAAAGTGCAAAAGCTACATAAATAGATACCATGGTGTTATGGTGATTAACAAGGTTTTACCTTCTGTCTTAGTGTGATAATGGGATAACCAGCCGCGTCAAGTAAATGATCTCCTTTGACTTTCAAAATGATGTTGCCATTGACATCAGTGACTACAAAGCTGCCATGGGTTATGGTTAGAAGTTTTCTAACAATTGCAATATCCACTGGGTAGGGGCTGCAGAAGTGAGGGCTGACAACCGCAACGGCGGGATGAGCATATGCTACTGATGGTGCGCTAGCTTTTGGTTGTGTCATGGTATGAAATATGTCGCCGATGAGCACCTGTATTTTGATTTAGGTTTGGGAAAGAAAGACAATAGTGTTTGGTGAATGGTGAATGGTGAGAGCGCGCATGCTTTTATGGGGAATAATCAGTTTACTTTGGGTCCAAGCGAAAACGTGTTTCGTACATTGTCCGTTTTCGTCTACAACAAAGCAAGTCCAACCAATGCGTAGACTTTTAAGCAGCATTCTAAATCTAATTAAGGGTCTTAAATGAAGGCTTGGTTTATTTGCCGTGGAGCTGCAACCCATAATTTAGGCCATGGGTCTTTTCATCAAACAAAAACATTAAGAATGACATGTCGTTCCATGATGTACGACCCTAATGTTTGACTTGGCTTCTATTAATTAATCAATATTCTTGTAGCATATGATTCCGGAAACAGAGCACCTCGTGTGTATGTAATCCATACATTAGTTACATGATGAAGCTTGGAAGGTCCCATTATATGAACATTTGGGCCCAAAATGTGTCTGCTTCCCTTGCCACACTCACGTGCTATACGGACGGTGCTATCGCTTTGGAAAATTGAGGCCATTTAAGTAACTCACTTCCAACTAAGGTCTTAAATATCGATAGTTTCGGAAATATCGGTGGTTCAAAAACACGGAAATATCGATAGAAATATTGAGAAAATATCGATATCAATAAAAATTAGATAAAAACCACGGAAATTATGATAAATACATGGAAATTTTTAATGAAACTTTAGAAGAAGTTTATTTAGTCAATCATCTATTATTTTGACATAAAAATTGGAAGGATATGCATTGCATAGTGGGTTTGTGTGATTTAAGTTGATTATATTGCGACCTAACAAACTCT